TTAAGATGAAGGCCATGCGTTTTCTTTCTCAGATCAAAAAAATTAAAATAAATTTTTAATATGTTTAGTTAGGACTAACATAGCATACTTGCTTATTAGAGCTAAGGAGTTTAGATGTAAGCGATAACAAGAACTCCGAATTCACTTTTCGGGCCGCTGTTCTCTAAATATATTAAATCTGTCAACGATAGAAAACCATAAAACTGATTGATTAGGAAGAATTTCGAATCGCGCTAAACTGAAAAGGAAATTTGATACCCTAAAAAGCAAAGACATACAGTACCGAGAATTTAAATCACGCCATCAGCAAAGAATATACCCTTAACTCTGAAATGCAATTAACAGATATCGATTGCAGGAAGTAATAAACTTGACATATTGTTTATAACAAAACTAATAGCAATATTACACTACTACTTTCATGGCAACTTGTTATCCAAAGTCCAACCATTTGGATGAAAATGTCTTTAATCTTATTTGTAACTTTAGACAATGTTTACAAGAACTTACACGATTTTAGTGAATGAATATTACCCAGTTAAAAATATTCGCGGGGATTTGAAACGATTCGCATGGAATCCGCGTGAATTTCCATTCAAAATTTTTAACATTCTAAATTAGCATCAAATTTGCTAAGGGGTTAGTACCACATCTTTTGTCAAAAAAACCAATCTTCTAAAAACTGCAGATTTTTGTTTCACAAAATGCAATGCTCACATTTTGGCAACTGGATCACATCAGGAGTTTCGCCCTATAACTTGCACATAGTTTAGCCCTAAAGGTGAGTAATTTAACCACGAAGTATTGTTCGGTTTTTTTAAAAACTGTCGGAGAGGGAGGGTGTTCAAATTTTTTGAAAAATTTAAACAGTGAATTTTTGAAGACTTGTAACTTTTAAACAGAAAGAAGAAAAAAAATTTGTCCCATATGTTTTTGAAAGGTTTTTTTCCTGCTCTTTCGAATGGTGCAAATTTTTTTTTTTTAATTGAAAATTTGACCATTTTTTGAAAATTAAAAATTTTTTCTGACTTTTTTTATGATGGGTCTTTTTTTTAATGTTGAAAATGTGTATTTTTACTGCAAACAATATTAAGATGTTCGTTTTTGTTATTTTCGAGATATTAATAAATTAATGTTTATAAAAAATGAAATATTTTACAAAGAAATAAAGTTATTGCAATTTTGAAGTTACTAATTGAAAGCTGTCATAATTCCGCATCCAACGAGCCCTATATGAACTTCTTTGGATTAGGCGATTTTTTATAAACAATTGGAATGTTAGCCAATATTTTATAACAATCCACTAATTAAAAATATTTGATATACGGCTCGTTGGATGCCGAATTATGTCAACTTTCATTGAGTAACATTAGAATTACGGACGAACATTTTTAAAATTTATCGGATTCGGTTTAAACTTGTAACTCACAATTTTAAGACAGAGAATTTTTATTTCACCGATACCTTATTTCACTCAAGTTTTACTTATCTGAATTTTCATTAGATAAAATTGTTAAAACGTCGAATTTCCATTCCATCGAACTTTCATATATCAGATCATACACTTATCAGAAACATTTCAGCGGGAGTTTTAAAATCAACCAATCAAAAATTATCAAGAAAATTGTGATTGGTTGATTTTAAAACTCCCACTAAAATGTTTTTGCCATTGTATGATGGGATATATGAAAGTTCGATCAAATGAAAATTCGACATTTTAAGAATTCTATCGAATAAAAATTCGGATAAGTGAAACTTCTGTCAAATGAAGTATCGGTGAAATAAAATATCTCTATCTTAAAAACTTAGCTAAGTAGAATTTCTGTTAAATAACAATTCTATTAAATAAAAATTAGATTGCATGTATAGAAATTTTTTAAATAAAACTTTTGTTAAATAAGAATTTTTTCATATAGAAATTCTTTTAGTTGGAAATTCTGTTAATAAAAATACTTTTAAGTGAATATTCGGATAAATAGAAATTCAACAAACGAATAATTCTAATAAATAAAAATTCTTTTTTATGAAATTTTTCTAGATATAAATTTTGTTAAATGGAAATTGTGTTATTTGGAAATTCGATGTATTAGAAAGTTTGCTTTATTAAAGTTCAGTTTAATAAAAATTCTACAAAATCAGAATTTTGTTAAATAGACATATTTTGATATTAAAACTGGGTTCATTATAAAATCCACTTTTTTAAAATTCTACTAAATGTAAATTTTATAATTTTTAATTCGATACCACAAAAATTTCGGCGAGTCTAATTTAAGGAATATTCATGCGTCCCGTTTTATAGTGTCCATGCTATATTCCTAAGGATATGCTCATGCGCAAATCTCAGCAGATTTCTCTCCATGTATGATAATACCAAGTCATGCTGGATATACAAGGCGCAAAGCCAGTATAAATGCCAACGTTAAACCATACTACTACTACTACTCTCCGTGTATGAGCTTTTTAATTTTTCTATGAAATTTTTTGTTCTTTGAGCTTTTCTAAACATAAAAAATAACAGGGTTGCTACGCTTTCTGGAAACCTGAAAAAGTCAGAGAATTCTATTTGACATGGAAAAGTCAGGGGAAAGTCATGGAATTTTTCTGGAGATTTTGTGGAGAACTAAAAAAATTAAGTTTCAAAAAATATTTATTATAATAATAAACTTTACTATATTTTAAGAAATTGTGTATATTTAATAACTATTTTTATATTAACCACACTTTCATGGAGTATGGAAAAATATCATATTCAGTCCTGGAAAATCTGGAAAATTCATGGAATTTTTTTCGAGAGAAATCGTAGCAACCTTGAAAAAATGTTTTAAGTTAGAAAATAAAAATAATTATATATGTATTGTTTGATAATTTATCAATGAAAAAAATACTGTTACGTTACAAACAGTGTTCGACTCTACATAAAGAAATAAATTACAATTATTGACTTTATGTTTTATTTCTAAAATAAACCTAAAAGAATTAGGTTCTTCTCTTTTATTAACATAATAGATTTTTTACTAAAAAACTTTTAGTAATTTGGGATTGTTACGTTTCATGAGAAAATGCTGTCAAATTATTTTCTTTACAAACGCAGTAAAATTTTTTTATCAAATATTTCTATTTAGTTACTTTCAAGTAACCTTATACTATCTGAAAATAATGAAGAGCATGTATAAAATAACATTTATGCAATATTAAGTACCTTTTCGACACCTGACATTTTTGCGTTTATTTTTTTATCATCGCGATGAAATAACGTAGCAAGTGTGAATTATCTAAACAATCAACAGATGTCAGGTTGACAATTGTGATACTTGATACATTGGGGTTTTTATTATTTAAAAATAATCAAGAAACCTCGAAATTTGAAAAAGAATTCCCATTGTTTCGGTTTTCATAAAATTGACCATATATGTATATAGTGTTGAAATAAATTTCTTCTAGGTAAATATATTTAGTACATTTTTTATGGAGTCCAAAAGTAGAAATCGAGTCGCTGAATAATATTGGCAATTCACTCATATATAAGAAGAGAGGATAATCCTCGAGCCATTTGTCTGCTGGATGTTGAGATGCTCATTTGTTCGTCGCGCGATGACAGATGACAATGAAGTAGAGAACGTGACGGGGGGACAATCATTTCGCGAGAGGACGTTCATTTGTTTGCCATTCCAGCTCAATTATTCTCGGATCATGTTCTTGTATCAAATACGAAGACAATCGAACATATGCTTCTCTTTCTTTCCTTCCTTTTTTTCTATGGAAATGGATTCTATTTTTATTATTATTATTTAGGACATTTAATTTTAAAATGTCATTTGTTTATCATCTACTACTTAATCCTGCGCACATATGCAGAGGAAATCTCTCACTTTAAATCTAAATATATGAAATTCACTTCTTTAATGATATAAATTGTTCTTTCGTTTAATAAGTGTATTATACATATATAATAAGTGGAACTTCACTCAAAGTAATGAAATTATAACCTTAATGATAGAACGTTTAATGGGCTTGCCGGCAGGGTAAATTAGCCTTCTGGATGCCTCTATTTCAAGACGACTAAAATTAATATGGATTTAGTTAAAAACAAAGTTAATTCTATGGTCAAAACTCTAAATTGAAATGCAAGTGCTGGACGGCTGAAAGAATTTTTGAAGTCATGCTTTTAAAATGACTGCTATGGCGTTCTACCGAAAGGCAAAAGCAATGCGTGGAAACGTCTGTTCACTTGGCCTTCTAGCAGGCGAAAGTAAATGTTTATTGTAGGCAAATTTTTTTACGCATTTTCCTTATATTTTGAAATTTTTTATTATTATATATTATCATTTTTCACATTATTTATTATAAGCATATTAAAAATAGATCATTAAACATTTTTAGATTATATATTCTTAAAATTAACGTTATGGGCTTCCGACAAGCTAAGCGCATAGACGTTCTAAGGTTAAATAAGTCAAATTTCACTTTTGCAGATTTTAAAGGCTTGAATGTAAAAAATTCAGCGTTGTAAAATACACAAAAGGGTCAATACAGTTTTAGGATATTTGGAACAGATGAATGAAAAAAGTATCATAACTTAAAAATTTTTCACATACACGAAAACACACCCGTATCTGCAGTGGAAATCCCTCACTTTTTGTAGTTCAGTCAGCTTTAAAAATTTATAATTAAAGATTTTTTTAATTAAAACTAAATGTCTTTTTCAAATTTAGGTAAGACGATTGTGTCAAAAGGTATATAAAAGGACAATATCCTACAGTGTGTTGAGAAAAAATTATTTTGGAAATACTGAATCCGGTGAGGGAAAATCTCACTTAATGTGTGATCGAATTTTAATGATTGAATTAATCACACCTCACAGTGGGGCCAAATCGAAAAAAACCGGACATTAGACCAAAAAGTTTAGGTTTTAAATCGGGATTTTTCAACTGACAGTTGGCTACACTGGACCCTAGTGAAGTAAAATTCACTCATAGTAGGTCCCCAAATCTATTACAGCAGTGCTGGTGTCAGTTGAAACGTAGCGTTTGTGGTAGTGCTCGATGTTGCGTTTAAAATTGAAAAAAGGAGGCGTTAAAATTTTTACTATATATTCGGACGAAATCCATAATTCTATGGAAATATAATAGAGTCCACTCCAAACAGTAAGTAAAAGATCATTATATTAAAAAAAATATTAGAAGAAGTGCAGAGCATGTTAATTTCAATCTAAAAAATCTAAAAAATTTGTTGTTTAAAACTGAAAATCTTCTAAAAAGTACCTTAAAGTACCTCCGTGAAACTGTTGGAGGTTGTACTTTAAAGTATCATAAATAATATATCCAAATTTTAGCTGCCCATATTTGCCCGCAAAATTTTAATCGAATTTTTCGTGAAAAAATACATGCGTTCGCTTGAGTAACGCACATGGCTATAGTATACTAATGCATAGAAATTCTTGGCTTCCCTTGTACGCACACCTGTTCCCCCCTCTCTAGCTAGTTTCTCTCTCTCTCTCTCTCTCTTTTTTTTTTCTTTCTCTCTCTGAAGAGTGTACAGTGCGTATGACAACGTACAAAGCGTGGATGTTGCAGCATGTTACCTAAAAACTGAGAAATCCTATATAAGAAATCTCTAAACGATAAACTCTCGATCTATAGTAACGCCTATCCCATTGGTTGATTGTCGCCGTGGCGTCTATTCCATTGGTCGAATTCTTATTTGTCATCTTCGTCTCGCAAGAGCGTAAAACAGACACGATCTGTCCGCGTAAAGATTTACCGACACACAGAAATAAAAGTGGTGTGTGCGTCAGTTATCTTTGTCAAGCAACGTTTTCAGTCAGTAAATGAATGAAAGCAATATATACGGTCGAATTTTCTTAAAACTTATTTTTCCAAAGAATCTTCAAGGATTGTTTCTCAGAATAAAAAAATGTTACTTTGTAGTATAAATAATTAATGAAAATTTTGAAGTTTGATTAATTTTTTATGTACAAAAATGAACATTATGTTTATTAAATTTTCTGTCATGAAGAACGTGTTGAATAATATTTTTTCTCTCATAATTTTTTTTATTTAGAAGGAAGGATAAATATTTTGTTTGTAATAATTATTTTAAAATTAAATGTACCGATAGTAATGATTAATTTTAATTATAGAAAATGAAGGTTAACTTTTAATATTTCAAGAGAATTCACATAAGTCAAATCTTCTGCAACCTTGCCTGATTGGTTATAGAATGTCAACTAATTAGATAATATTAACCGAATAAAAGGTTCACTATAAATAGAATGTCAGTTAAACGGGGCACATGAATAAGTTCTAAATTTAATTTTTTTGAATTTCCATTTGTTAGAATAAATTATTTAGATAGATTTTAAATAGATTAGATAGAATTTTCTTTTAACCGAATTTTTATTTGACCGAATTATTATTTCACAGAATTTATATTCATCCGATTTTCTATATTACAGAATTCTTATATAACCGAACATTCAACTGACAGAACTTATATTTGATCGAATTTTCATATGCTCGATTTTTTGTTAAATAGAATAGCCATTTAGACGAATTCTTATTAGACAGAATTTTAATATAAAGAATTTACTTTTATCCGAAGTTTAATTTTTTAGAATTATTATTTCACAGAATTTATATTTCATCGTTTTTTCACAGTATAGAATTATTACTTAACCAAATATTCATTTAACAGAACTTCCATTTCATCGAATTTTTATGTGTCAGAATTTTCATCTTTTTGAATGTTCATTAAACAGAATATTCATTTAAACGATTTTATTTATTAGGTAGAATTTTAATAGGAAGAATTTACTTTTAGCGGAAGTTTCATTTCTTAGAATTATAATTTAGCAGAATTTTAATTTAATCAATTTTTAGCATTGCAGAACTTTTATTTAGTCGAAATTTTATTTAAAGAATTTCTATTTGATCGAATTTGCATTTTTCCGAATTTTTATTAACTCGAATTTCTATTAAACAGAATATTTATTTAGATGAATGTTTGTAAGACAGAATTTCCATTTCACCGAATTTTTATTTGTTCGAATTCTTATTTGAACGTATTGTCATTTCAAAAAATTCTTAAAACGTCGAATTTGCAAATGTCCGAATAAGCATCCGGCAGAAACGATTCAACCATTTGCAAATTCGGTCAAATGCAAATTCGACGTTTTAAGAATTCTTTCAAATGACAATTCGTTCAAATAAGAATTCGAACAAATGAAAATTCGGTGAAATTGAAATTATGTCTTACAAAAATTCGTCTAAATAAGTAGGTGTTCTGTTTAATGGAAATTCGAGTTAATAAAAATTCGGACAAATGCAAATTCGATCAAATAGAAATTCTTTAAATAAAATTTCGACTAAATAAAAGTTCTGCAATGCTAAAAATCGATTAAATTAAAATTCTGCTAAATTATAATTCTAAGAAATGAAACTTCCGCTAAAAGTAAATTCTTCCTATTCAAATTCTACCTAATAAAAATTCATTTAAATGAATATTCTGTTTAATGAACATTCGAAAAGATGAAAATTCTGACACATAAAAATTCGATCAAATGGAAATTCTGTTAAATGAATATTTGGTTAAGTAATAATTCTATACTGTAAAGAAACGATGAAATAGAAATTCTGTGAAATAATAATTATAAAAAATTAAACTTTGGATAAAAGTAAATTCTTTATATTAAAATTCTGTCTAATTAGAATTCGTCTAAATGGCTATTCTATTTAACAAAAAATCGAGCATATGAAAATTCTGAGAAATGAAAATTCGATCAAATAGAAGTTCTGTCAATTGAATGTTCGGTTATATAAAAATTCTGTCATATAGAAAATCGGATGAACAGAAATTCTGTAAAATAATAATTCGGTTAAGTAAAAATTCGATTAAAAGAAAATTCTATCTAATGTAATTCTAACAAATGGGTATTCTAACAAATTAATCTTAGAACTTATTCATGCGCCCCAGTTAAACAAATTAAAGTAAACAAATTTTTTTTAATAGGAATGCTATTATTATGGGAGCCTAAAAAGTGATAAATAAAAGATAGAAGTATAACTGTTGAAAGTTGCAATAAAAGAATAAATGTTTGCCAAAATAATTAAAATTATTGCGAGTAGGTATTATTTATGCCAGATTGAATCAAAATGAATCACGACAGTTTTGAATATATTTTCGAATTGATTAAAGGTAATTCGTAAAAGCATTCAAAATTGGAATAATTTTTTCATTAAATATGGTTTAAAGAATGTTTTCAATGATTTAAAATATTTTAGACAACTTTGAATGTTTTTACGAATTACTTCTTCTTGGACCTTTAATAAATTCGACAAACTATTTAAAACTGTCATGTTTCAATTTGATTTAATCTGCCATAATGAATATTTGCAATCAATTAAAATATTTTATCGGACATTTATTCTTTTATTAAAATTTTTATAGTTCTACTTTTCTACGCCATAATAAAAGCATTCTAATTAAAAAAAATTGTTTGTGATTTTAATTTTTTATTTATTACTTTTTGGTTCATAAAGAAAAGTTATTTAGATTTGTTGGTTTTCAAAATGTGTATATTTAGGTAAATATTTTTTTAGCAAATATTCTACTTCATTAACAAAGATCTTAGGAGATTCCATGAAATATTTAGAAAATTCTATAAAGTTTCTAAAAGGTGAAATATAATTTCTAAATATTTCTTTAGGTTTCTAGAAAGTTTCATCAAGTTTCTAAAAGGATCTATGAAGATTTCAGAAGATTTCTTGAAATTTTTAGATGCTTTTCTGAATTTTCTAGATATTTTCATGAAGTTTTAAAAATTTTGATGAAGATTTCCTAGATTTTTCCATTATGTTTCCAAAAAGTTCTACGAAGTTTATATATAGAAAGTTCCATAAAGATTCTAAAAGGTTATTCATTCAGTTTCTTCAAAAGTTCTACGAACTTTCTAGGTATAAGGTTCTATGAAGTTTCAAGAAAGTACCATTACGTTCCTAGAAGGTTTTATGAAGTTTCTGAAAAGTTCCATGAAGTTTTTAGGAAGTTTCTAAAAAAGAGTAAAAAAATTAAAATGTTCATTAAAATTAGACTTCAGAAGGTTTCAGGAATGGGAGTTCCAAGAGGTTTTTAGAAGGTTCCATGAAGTTTCTAGAATGTTCCGTGAATATTTTAGAAGTTTTCATGAAGTTACTATAAAGATCCATGCACATTGTGAAAGGTTTTATGAAATTTCTAAAAGGCTTCATAAAACGTTCTAGGAAGTTTCATAAAGACTCTAAAAGGTTTCATGAATGAAAAGTTCCATGAATTGTTTAGAAAGTTCTGTAAAAATTGTAGAAGGTTTCATTAAGTTTCTATGAAGTTCCATGAAGACATTAAAAAGTTTCATTAAGTTTCTTTTTTAAATTCTACGACGTTTCTAGAAAATTCCACAAAAATTCTAGAAGGCTTTATGAAGTTTCTACGAAGTTTCATTAAGTTTCTAGAAAGTTTTATGAAAACTCTAAAAAGTTTCATTAAGTTTCTTGAAAATTTTAGAAAGTTTCTAGAAAGTTCAGTTAAGTTTTAAGAAAGTTTCATAAAGACTCTATATGGTTTCATGAATAGAAAGTTCCATAAAGATTATAGATTATTTCATTAAGTTCCTAGAAAGTTCCATGAAGTTCTTAGAAAGTTCCATTAAGTTTCTAGAAATTTCCATGAAAACCCTAAAAAGTTTTATAAAGGTTTCTAGAAAGTTCCATAAAGTATCTAGATAATTCCATGAAGATAGTACAAGGTATTATGAATATAATGTTCCACAAAGTTTTTCAAAAGTTTCAAGAAATTTCTAGAAAATTCTACGGAATTTCTATAAGTTTTTATAAATTTACTAGAACGTTCTATGAAGATTCTAAAAGTTTTCATTAAGTTTCTAGACAGTTTCATTAAGTTAATAGATGGTTCTATGTCCTTTCTCGAAAATGACAAATCAATTTCATATAAAAGCATTCTAATAAAATGTCGACTTTTAAGAGTGTTGACTTCATAAATTCCGGTCAAATAAATTATTATCGACAAAAGATTGAACTTTTGACTAATTTTCAATCATAACACATTTTGACATTTGCAATATGAATATTCTTTACTTATTTCTGGTCAAGTACGAAATATCAACTTAAAAGGCGCGCGCTTGCGCGCGCAGTCTACGTCTAGTATTACTTTTTAAATTACTTGATCACGACTCTCAAACTTTGAGTATTCTCACGCAGTAACTACCGAAAACATTCCTTAGCAGCAGTAATTTACCGGTTTAAAATTTAAAACTTTTTGTTTAGCACATTATAGATTATTGTTATATACAATATACTTTACAAAAGTATCTATGCTTTGTTGTTTTTTCAATACTTAAATTTTTTTAATAAAAGTGTAATTATATTATTTTAAGAAGAAAGTTATTTATATTCAAATATTGTAGATTATTGTTTATTAAATACATCTAATAATAAATTTTAATTTAAAATAATTATCTTTCAGAATCCGATGCGGTATCTGCACCTGTGCACGAAAATATTAATAAACAGTTTCAACTGAACGACAGTAGTACAAGTGAATCAGAGATTTCAAATTTGGACTCCGATTATGATGAAGAATTTTTGTACTAACTATTCCACTCCTTTGCACTGACATTATGTTTATATTGACTGCCGAATTTACTGTAAAATTTGTATTTGACAAGTAAATTAAAAACTTATAAATTGAAAAAACTACTATTTTCTTATTTCAAAAAGCTTTAATTCAACTTCAGAGACACTGAAAACCCCCGTATAACAAGTTTTAAGGGAATTTGACCATTTCTTAATTTTTATGTCCGCCATATTGGATCCGCCATTTTGAATTTTGAAAAACTAACTTCAGATTCGTAATCACCGACCCCGAAAACTCCCGTATAACAAGTTTTAAGGGAATTTCACCATTTCTTAATTTTTATGTCCGCCATATTGGATCCGCCATTTTGAATTTTGAAAAACTAACTTCAGATTCGTAATCAGCGACCCCGAAAACCCCCGTATAACAAGTTTTAAGGGAATTTGAGCATTTCTTAATTTTTATGTCCGCCATACTGGATCCGCCATTTTGAATTTTGAAAAACTAACTTCAGATTCGTAATCAGCGACCCCGAAAACCCCCGAGTAACAAGTTTTAAGGGAATTTGACCATTTCTTAATTTTTATGTCCGCCATATTGGATCCGCCATTTTGAATTTTGAAAAACTAACTTCAGATTCGTAATCAGCGACCTCGAAAATCCCCGAGTAATGATTTTCAAAACGATTACTTTACTTTTTGGTCTAATGTCCGGTTTTTTTCTATTTGGCCCCACTGTGCACCTGTGTCTGGCCGTTTTGCTAGATTAATTCATTTACGGATTTTATAGGCAAAAACAACATGAATTGACTATGACGAAACATCTTTTAAGGGTTCCGTACCCGAAGGGGGAGCTCTATTAATGAGACTAGTGAAGCAAGGCATGTACCCCCCCCCCTAGCGGCCACATGAATTTATGTAGAGAGCTGAAATTTGGTACACATATGTATTTTGGTGTGTAAATTACAGGAAAAATCTAGCGAAATATAGCGAACATGATTCGGATCAATTTACATAGCGTTGTCAAGGAAAAATAAAAAATTTCGAAAACAATGGTTTAATCTCCTTAGCGTGCACAATATTTGACCAAGACAGTTCACATTTGGTATACATGCGTATTTTTGCGTGTAGAGTACAGGAAAAATGTAGCGATTGGAGTTGATGTTCATATTGTTTTTTAAAAAAATTCATATTTTTAGAAAAAATCATGGATTTTTTTAATAAAAAAAGAAGAAAATTTTATCTCAAGGTATTCAAATTTATATATTTTTACGTATTTTGACGTGTAGATTACAAAAAAAATATAGTGAGCACGATTGGAGTTTATTATCATAGCGTTTTCAAGGAAAAATTTATAATTTTCAAAAAAAATCATGAATTTTTCTCAAAAAACGTAGAAAATTTTATCTAAAGGGCTTCAAATTTATACATTTTTACGTATTTTCACGTGTAGATTACAAAAAAAATATAGTGAGCACGATTGGAGTTTATTATCATAGCGTTTTCAAGGAAAAATTTATAATTTTCGATCTATGTGTCTGTCTATGTGTTTTCATGCTCACATTACAGGAAAAATTAAGAAAAACAAGATGGGGGTCTCTTTTTATAAAAGAAGTTTATGTTCATTTCATGAACATTTTGCTTCCTCATTGCGCAAAGCAAAAGATTTGCTTCCTCTTGGAGGAAGCAATAAATTAATAATTTATATACATATTATTTTTAAAATATGATAAATGATTTCAAAAAATATATCTTTTTCCACCTTTTCCACTCTTTCAACCGTTTTATTTTAGCTTTGAAACAATTTTTTTATTAAAATCGATTTTTTGAAAAAAAGTAAAAAAAAATTTTTTTTTAGGGGGTACTTTCTAAAATTGTTGTGTTCATTTTGAGATATTAATGTGACAAATGTACATACCAAATTTTAGCCAAATCCGTTAAAACGTATTAACGATATCGTGTTCACAAAAACTTTTTTAACTAAAATATGAATTTTTGAATTTTGAATTTTTTAATTTATTCTTTAAATTTCAATGAAATATAAACTTTATATATACCAATCGATTCGTCTTGATATGAGGAATACGATTTTACTATGTATTGCCTTTAATTTTGCTTTCAATAAATTTTTTCGATTAAAATCGATTTTTTTGAAAAAATGCCAAAAAAATTTTTTTTGTGGGTATTTTCTAAAATCATTGTGTCCATTTTGAGATATTGATGTGACAAATATACGTACCAAATTTTAGCCAAATCCGTTAAAACGTATTAAAGTTATCGTGTTCACAAAAAAATGGATCCACACACACACACACATACACACACACACACATACATACACACACATACATACATCCGGACAATTGATCAGGGACTTATATATGACATTTATAAATAGAAAAAAATTTGTTTGGTGCATTTCTAATAATTTCATAATTTGAAGGACTACATAGCTTCCTCCAGAGGAAGCAATTGAAATTTTTCCATAGGCCTTTACACTTTAACCCTCTCAAATTTTAGGTTTAACGGTACGCTACCCTCGGTTTTAATGCGAGTGTAACTCGCACTTATCCGACTTTTTTAAAATGAAACAATTTTGTTAATTTATCCTCTAATATTGTTACAGTGGTTTTAGATTTTTAACTGTTTTCAAGGTTAGTAAATATACTCCTTTTAAAAATTTTAAGATCAACTTTTAACCCCAAAACTACCCTTGTTCTGTCATTTTGAAAGAAATTATCTTAAAAATTAAAGTATGTTCGTTTTCCTTCTTGTATTATTCTTAGAAAATTTTTCTGTTTTTCAAAATAGTATATTGTGCATCTAGGGAGGAAAATTGTTAATTTTCACGAGTGTGATGTTTGCAGTTCGAGGCGGAGCGAGTGCACAAGCCGAAGACGAGTGCTTGCGAGCGAAGACGAGAACTGCAAACACACGAGCTGGGAATCATTTCCCTCCCGAGTTTGCTTTTTAAAACACACGTATATTGAAAGTACAAATATATAATAAAGCATTGAACATAATTATTAATTTTTTAATAAAACTTTAATAATATTTTATCGAAAGTTTACAAAATAAATTTTTACAGAATCAAATTCTTCATTTTTATCTATCAGTAACTTTTCCTCCCGCTCGCCAGAAAAGACATACATTTCTCCCGCTACACAGGTAAAAAATGATGTACTTTCGGTGCGTGTGTTAGAAAAAAACTTTTTTTGCTTCCTCGTGGAGGAAGCTTTGTAGTCCTTTCGTTTATAAAATTTTTAAAAATGGTGAAAACAAATTTTCAACTATATATTGGAACATGTTATAAGAGAGCCTGATCAATTGTCCGGAAGTATGTGTGTGTAGATCTTTTTTGTGAACACGATATCTTTAACAAGATTTAAAGGATTTGAGTAAAATTTTGTAACCTTATTTATATACTGTAAATGTCTACTATCCTGCCATTTTTAGGCTAGTAGAATAAGCACTGTTTATATTATTGATTAGGTCTCGTTGATTAATGTAAATATTAGAATTTGTATAATAACAAAATGAAATATAGGTTTTGTAATTATATTTACCACGTAGAATAATTTTAAGAACCAATTTTAGTTTCCGAATTGATATTGTTCGATAGAGTCGCAATTAATACGATGGAAAATATTGTCTATCGGGATGAATTTGAAAAAAAATTATTTGAATATTACACAGTAATAAGAACATCTTAATTTAAGATGAGTCTTAAAATCAGCGCTAATAGTTATAATGGAAATTGTTTGGCGTAATTTAAAGAATTAATTAAAGTTTGTCTAAAAATAAAAAAATTACATTTTAGCTAAAAAATTTTGCGTTTATTTAAATTCAAGTTTAAACATAAAATAATTGTATTCCTTGCATTAAAACGAATCCATTAGTATATATATAAAGTATACATTTGAGTAAAATTAAAAAAATTAATGAAAGTTAAAAAATCAAAAATTCATATTTTAGCTAAAAAATGTTATGTTCAAATTCAAGTTTACACATAAAATAATTGTATTTCTTGCATTAAAGTAAATAAATTGGTATTAATTAAAATTAATTTTCAATTAAATAAATTATATTCAATTAAGGGGTTAGGTGTAGTCAGAGGCACGAAAAAATGAGAATTTTCAGTATTTTTTTTTGCTATTAAATAATTTTATTTTACAAAAGTAGTAATATGGTATTATTAAACAATGTTTTGACTTGAAGACACGAAAATTTAAAAAAAAAAAAATTTTTATTTCCGAAGTTACAGCTGTTTGTGTTAACCCAGTTCCAAAAAAAGGTCCTTGCGGTGACAATCATAAGTCCTTGGAGATTAATCAGAAATCAATCGGATAAAAAAAATTAGTTTTATAAATAAATAATCCTGGGCCTGATCGAAGGATTTTTTTTTTTTCAAAAATTAACAAAATGGCGGCCTCAGGAAATTTTTGTCTAGATTTTTGGGAAAAAATCAACATTTAATTGGTCTTAAAAAATCGAAATTTTTCAAAAAAAAAAAAATCCTTCGATCAGGCCCGAGTTTATTATGTATTCTAAAAGCTGTATAAATTTCATTAAAATCGACTGAGCGGTTTTCGAGTTATAGTTGTCACCAGTTCAAAAAACATAGTTTTGAGAAAAACGCGTTTAGTTTCACACTAGATTTACGTACAAAAAAACGAATTATTAAATTACTTACACCGAGTCATCTATTCCTGGGCCATATTAATTTAGGTACTACTACATATACCCAAGTCTAAGTTCATCGATGACAATAGAACCCTAAAAGCCGATTTCTTGCAGCTGACACTAGCTGCAAGCGCTCGCGAGCGCTTTAAAAGGCCCGAGCTCTCTTTGTTATTTGTCGAATAACTTAAAAACGAATTATCGGATTAACTTGAAATTTTCAGAGATTATTTTTAAGATATTTTACTTAACGAAAATGCAAAAAAAAAAAATTTGATTTTTTGAAAATTCTGACTACCCCTAACCCCTTAAATGAGTAGAAGAAATTGATTGCTTCCTCCGTGAGAAAGATTTTTTGCTTCACACAATAAGGATGCAAAATTTTCTCGAAGTGAACAGATAGGACAAAACTCAATGGATTTTAATTTTTCAATTTTCAATAATTTACACGATATTTAAGAAAACAAATTTTTCACGCCTTTTTTTAAAAATCAAATCCTTATTTTTCGATTTTCACCCCTTCGGGTATTTAAAAAAAAAATTTTTTATTGGAAAGCTGAGGATTTTACCAATAAGCTACGTAAATAAAAAGTAGAACAACAATAATTTTTTGAGAAACATAATAATAAATTTGGTGATGTTCCTGCGCAAAATTTTTTTTCCATAATACGATATTTCAATTTTGCTTCCTCGTGGAGGAAGCTAAGTAGTCCATTCGTTTATAAAATTTTTATACATAGTGAAAACAAATTTTCCTCTATATAGAAACATGTTATATCAGATCCTGATCAATTGTCCGGATGTATGTATGTGTGTGTGTGTGTGTATGTGTGGATCGTTTTTGTGAATACGATATCTTTTACAAGTTTTAATGGATTTAAATAAAATTTTCTAGGCTTATTTATCACATTAAACTCTTAAAAATGACGAGAGGATCTTTAAACATACCCCCAAAACAAGTTTTATAGTCAATTTTCCAAAAATTTTTTTTTAATTGAAAAAATTTAAGGTAATATATAATATAATCGTCTTCCTTACATCAAGACGAATCGATTAGTATATATAAAGTATAGATTTGGCTGAAATTTATAGAATTAATGAAAGTTAAAAAATCAAAAATTTACATTTTATTTAAAAAATGTTGTGTTTATTAAAATTCTAGTTTATATATGAAATAATTTTATTCCCTGCATTAAAACGAATCGATTGGTATATATAAAGTATAGATTTGATTTAATTTTTAAGAATTAATAAAAATTGAAAAATAAAAAATTCATGTTTAAGCTAAAAAAAATTAAAATTCAATTGTAAATTGAAATTTTGTATTTTTAAATTCAAGTTAATACATAAAATAATTGAATTCCTTGCATTAAAACGAATCGGTTCGTATATTGAATTTTTTTTAAATTTTTTGCACCATTTAAACGAGCAGGGAAAACCCTTCGAAAACGTATAGGACAAATTTTTCTTCTTCTTTCTGTTTAAAAGTTACAAGTCTTCAAATATTCACTGTTTAAATTTTTCAAAAAAATTCAACCCCCTCCCTCTTCGACAGTTTTTGAAAAAACCTAACAATACTTCGTGGTTAAAATTTAAATCAAATCTATACTTTATTTATACCAATCGATTCGTTTTAATGCAGGGAATAAAATTATTTCATATATAAATTTGATTTTTAATAAACACATTTTTTAGCTAAAATGTAAATTTTTGATTTACATATTATATATTACCTTAAATTTTTTAATTCAAAAATTTTTTCAATTAAAAAAAATTTTTGGAAAATAGACGATAAAACTTTTTTTGGAGGTATTTTTAAAAATACTCTCGTCATTTTTGAGAGTTTAATGTGATAAATAAGCCTACCAAATTTTATTTAAATCCATTAAAACCTGTAAAAGATATCGTGTTCACAAAAACGATCCTCACATACACACACACATACACACATACATACATCCGGTCAATTGATCAGGATCTCATATAACATGTTTCTATATAGAGGAGAATTTGTTTTCACTATGTATAAAAATTTTATAAACGAAAGGACTACAAAGCTTCCACCACGAGAAAGCAAAATTGAAATATCGTATTATGGAAAAAAAAATTTTGTGCAGGAACATCACCAAATTTATTATTATGTTTGTCAAAAAATTATTATTGTTGTTCTGCTTTTTATTTACGTAGCTTATTGGTAAAATCCTCAACTTTCCAATAAAGAAATTTTTTTTTTTTAATAGCCGAAGGGGTGAAAATCGAAAAATAAGGATTTGATTTTTAAAAAAAGGCGTGAAAAATTTGTTTTCTTAAATATCGTGTACATTATTGAAAAGTACGTGAAAAATAAAATCCATTGAGTTTTGTCATAGTTTTACGGATTTGAAATTTACAATGTTACTGTAAACGTAAAAACTTCAACGTCTTCTACTTTCTACAATTTTTTTAACGAGTTAATATTTTAAGAATTTCACTTAGGACAACAATTTACCAAAGTATCAAGCCAATCCCAGAACATTCACTTTTTGGGCTGGGCGACTGAAGAAGAATCCCTCATATGCACATGCCATTACATTCATGTTATATGGCAGGACTCGTAAGCGATCGTTCGACATTCATGAACACAAAATTCTATAAGGATTTAGAAAGAGGAGAAGTTGAATTTCCCCCAGTATGATTTGCCGAGAACAAAAATACAAATGCTCATTTCTTCATCAGGGACGAAGTTTTCCTATTAACAAAACAAGTCATGATCCCATTTGCTTGACGCTATTCCCTTAATGCTGGGCAAAAGAAAAAAAGCCTATGCCAACCTTGGCGCAACCCAAGGAAAAACGCAACACCATGAAGCTATCCTTGCTCATGATCACTTCCCAGGGCATGGAAAATGCTTGGTTAAAAGCTGACAAAAAAATTCCAATTGCATTGCAGTGGAAGAGTGGATTAACCCTGGCATTTCTTTTCACGGTTTTTACACCTTTAAAACCGTGGCTATCGACCTTTGTAATTGTTTTATCCACAAATTTAGAGTGAATAAAGGCTGAGCAAAGCCTGGCGTTTCTTTTCACCGTTTTTACACCTTTAAAACCGTGGCTATCGACCTTTGTAATTGTTTTATCCCCAAATTTAGAGTGAATAAAGGCTGAGCAAAGCCTGGCATTTCTTTTTACGGTCTTTAGACCTCAAAAACAGTGGCATTCGAACTTTGAAATTTTTAACTGAAAAATTGAGAGCGCACCAAAGCTGAGCAAAGCCTGGCATTTCTTTTAACGGTCTTTAGAACTCAAAAACCGTGGCATTCAAACTTTAAAATTTCTTAACTGAAAAATTGAGAGCGCACTAAAGCTGGGCAAAGCCTGGCGTTTCTTTTCACCGTTTTTACACCTTTAAAACCGCGGCTATGCGTTGAATTCATTTATGAATCATGATAAACTCCCATGAGAAAAATACATGTGAGAATTAAATTCAAAGTGCATAGGCCGTACATTGATATATATAATAGATCTCAATATCAACTTCTAACTTTCAATCAGAAATGAATCAGAAAAATAAAACAATATGAGGTTAAAATAAACCCCCTCCCAGAGGGTTGTACGGGGTTAAGGGAAGGAAGGATTTGTTTTTAGTGGTGTTTTTCGGATTAAGCGACCCAAAAAAATTGAAATAGACACCCTACTCTATTTTTTTTTAATTTGAAACTCCAACCCCCGTGAGTAGGTGCAAGGGGGTGTTTTTGGGAAAATTGGTCGGCAAAAAAATTTTTCATGGTCATATTCGGTTTCAGCGACCCCAAAAACATAGGAATATGGGGTTGTTTTTTTTGGGACCTGACTTTTTTGTGTGCCTGTGTAATTACTTATTAAATACAATATTTTATATTACAATATAATATATAATATAAAATATTATAATATATAATATATAATATAATATAAAATATAATAATATATAATATATAATATAATATAAAATATCATAATATATAATATAATATAAAATATAATATATTTTTTCAGAGAGAAGATGAGCTTCCAGAAACTCCCCACAATTCCCCCGCAGAAGGGGGTCTAGAGGTGGTTGAAGACCCCGGCTTCTATGAGCTGTCTGCGGGGGAAGATAATGAGGAGCCACCACCGGCAGTAAGTATAATTAATTTTTAAATTTAAATTTGAAATTAACTTTTTTTCCTTTTAGTTCGAAACTCCACCACCAGGGGAAGGGGAAACTCCCATTCCAGAGTCAGCCAACTCCTGGGTGACTCAAATGGAGTTGCCGGTGGTGGTAATTCCGAGGCGCCGCCACTATCGCCACCGCCATCGTCGTAGCTTCCACTACCGGCACACTCATCGCCACCCCCATCACCTTTCCACCGGTGGGTGGGTATTATTCAATTTTTATAAAAATTTATGCCTAAGGTTTTCTGAGGTCACTGATTACGAAACTGAACTCATTTTAAAACCCAAATATATTATTATAATATAAAGTAACACTACTTATTGTTACCTTTAAAATGATTTTATGCTACAGTTTCGAAAATTGTATGTCCTATGGCTTATTAAGTCATAGGTAAATGTAGTTTATAACATTTTTTAAATTTTTAAAAATTTAATTTTTTAAAAATTTTTAAAAAATTTTGTTTGCATTTTTGGATCCACCATTTTAAATTTTGAAAAATTAAATTCATATTCGTAATCAGCGACCCCATAAACCCCCGAGTAACAAATTTTAGGCCAATGGGATCAATTTTTTTAAAAGTCATCCACCATATTGGATCCGCTATTTTGAATTTTGAAAAACAAAGTTCAGATTCATAATCAGCGACCCTAAAAACCCCCGAGTAACAAATTTGAGGCCAATGGGATCACTTTTTTAAAAAGTCGTCCGCCATATTGAATCCGCCATTTTGAATTTTGAAAAACAAAGTTCAGATTCATAATCAGCGACCCCAAAAACCCCCGAGTAACAAATTCGCCATTATAAATTTTGTAAAACTAAGTTCAGATTCGTAGTCAGCGACCCCACAAACCCCCGAGTAACAAATTTTAGGCCAATTGGATGAATTTTTTTAAAAGTCATCCGCCATATTGCATCCGCCATTTTGAATTTTGAAAAACAAAGTTCAGATTCATAATCAGCGACCCCAAAAACCCCCGAGTAACAAATTTGAGGCCAATGGGATCACTTTTTTAAAAAGTCGTCCGCCATATTGGATTTTCCATTTTGAATTTTGGAAAATTTTAAATTCAGATTAGTAGTCGCAGCGACCCCAAAAACTTTCGAGTGAGAAATATCAGCCAGATTTAAACACATCTATTAGTTAATACTTACTTTTCTTCACAAACTATGCGTCGGACAGTTTAGGTTTATATTCATTATTAATTATACAGTTTTAATGAAGTGTGCAAAGGTTAACGATTTTTCTGTATACTTTTATAATGCATGAGAAGAGATTACAATGAGTTGGGAGCATTTAGAAGCAAAATTTAACATGTGCTTTTCAAATATGTGGTTTTTTGATATGAGTTACGTTTTAAAATTTAATGTTTGAAGTCATTGCATTCTTTGTGTAAAGGAGGCACACATTCCTGTATGGGTTCAAGTTACTTCTTTTTAGGTAGATAATATAATCCCGTTGTGCCGTTACTCAAAAACCTTCGTTAAAAAAGTTATATCAGTTTAACTGATAACTTGTAAAAATTTTGAAAAAGTTGTCTCGCAAGTTTGAAGCTACATAGTTTTTATTCAATTTGAGGCACATCATTGTTTTATGGATTTTTTAGTTCTTTACACTCCCACCTACTTCTATTGCAAGCCACAAGACACTCAATGTTTCGTTAAAAAAGTTACAGTCTATAAATTTAAAAAAACAGTCAATATCACACACTAGAAACTGTCGATTTCACCACTTTAACTTACGTTCGTCATTTCCTACATAATTAAAAAAATTATATAACGCATGATACATTTAAAAAGCTCTATAATTGGTCAAATTATGGTATTGAAAAATTATTAAAAAAATTCTTAAGGTATCATAATGAGCGATAACATAAAGTTTAAACGTTCTAGAGATATGCCCATATATCCTATTGTATATATATATTTTTAAATGATCGAGTTTACAATGTCTGCGCATGCGTGAATAGTATTCTGGGGGAGGCCCATGCTATTGCGCGTGCGCGGTTATATTTAGCTATAAATACAAGGATTTCAAGCAGTGCAACTCATTCTATTCTGTGAGCTAGTGCAGCTTAGTCGCAGCAAAGCAAACTGTAATAGAGCGATCTTTTATTTATTGTATTTTTTCTTGCGTTTTGACAGTTAATTTTATTTTATAAGTTTTTTTTGTGTGCTTGGTTCTTTTTTTGCGTGTTATTAGATTAAGGATTAGTATATAAGTACGTTTTTTCTTTTTTTTATTAATTTATCTATTATTCATTTTTTTTCTTTATTTATTACTATATTTATTGTTCTTTATTATTATTTTTTTGTTTATAAATTTTTTGTTCTATTTTTATATTATTTATTTCTATTGTTTTTTTATTTATTTTTACGCGACAATGCCTGGTAAACGAAAGTTTGCAGGCATTGTGAGACCTGCAAAGCGACCCAATTATCAGACCATCCTTGATGACTGCGAGGTCACCATTGCACTTATCAAAGATGCTCTTGAATTAGTCGCGAATTTGCGCAATGGCGCTGTTAAAAACGAAATTATAGCGCGATGGGTTGCAGAATGTTCTTGCAACGAACAAGTTTTAACAAGTCTTTTAAGATCTATGCAATTTACGCATGAGAAAAGTCGTTGCCAGAAGATTCTACAATTCATTATGAGATTTAGAGTTTTGTTCGAATCTCAAGCGGTAGAGGGCGGTGGTATACAAGACCCTAATATTAATAATCGCGTGCGTTGGGCTATGTGTGAGTCAGCGTTTGATCAAAATGGTCCGATTATCGTATATGGTGTTTTAAATGCTAATTTTAAAAGAGTGCAGAATGAAGTGGAGGTAGTGCAGCCAATTCCATTCTCTTCTAAATCTAACAGCATTTTCCCCACAACTTTATTGGAGGACTGGTTCGAAGTCAATTTGAAGCAGCCAATCCTGAGGAATGTGGAGGAGTTCCATGAGAAGGGATCCAGCTGGAATCTACAGTCTATAGTTAAGTTAGAAATTAATGTTAATAAATATAACCCTATGCGTGCGAGTTCATATATCAGTTTACCCCCAAAAATAAGAGCCAAAAATGCGTGTATTAATGTAGAAAATGAAAAAGATAATAAGTGTTTTAAATGGGCTATACTTTCCGCTTTACATGACGTGTCACATCCCAAACATGTGTCTAGTTACATTGATATTGAAAATGAATTAAATTTTGATGGTATTGAATTCCCTGTAGCGCTGAAAAGTATACCTAAATTTGAAATGCTCAACAATATCTCGATAAATGTATACGGTCTTACCAAAAGATATAGTAATTTCTCTGTTCATCCTCTTCATCTGACCGCAGAGAAGATGGATCAGCATGTAAACCTGTTACATGTAGTAGATTATTATATAGATGAAAGTGTAAATGAAGATAATGTAAACAATGATTCTAACGATATTGATTTTATGAATTTCCACTATGTTTGGATTAAAAATTTATCTCGGTTAGTATCCAAACAATTGACTAACCATAAATGTAAAAAATATATTTGTGATCGTTGTTTACACTATTTTTCATCAGCGGAAAGATTGAATGTACACGATGAAAATTGTAAACGTATGAATGTATGTAGCGTAAAATAACCGAATGCTGAAAATTGTAAAATTACCTTTAAAAATTATGATAATAAGGAGAAAGTTCCTTTTATCATCTATGCCGACTGTGAAAGTTTACTTCTTCCCGTTGAAGAAGATATAGATAATTTAAGTAAAACTAAAATTTTCCAGCGTCATAAATTGCTTAGTATAGGTTATTATGTAAAATGTAGTTACGATGACTCATTGTCCGTGTATGTACCGTGTCCGAGGCAGGAAAATGATCCTGCTAAGTGGTTTGCTGACAAGTTAAGGCAATTTTCCGAGAAAATTGATAATGTATTTAAGAATCCTATTTCTATGGATGCCTTAACTCCTCAGCAAATCGCTGATTTTAAGAAAGCAAGCGTATGCCATATTTGCCGTAAGAATATATCAGCTAATGTTAAAATGGTTCGCGATCATTGTCATCTTACTGGCAAATATAGAAGTGCTGCGCATGAATCATGCAACTTGAATTATCATGAGTGCCAAATCGTACCCATTGTATTTCATAATTTAAGTGGGTACGATGCACACTTTATAATTCATGCTGTATCGACGAGCTTTGAAGGTCAAGTTGACCTCCTCCCCTTGAACAAGGAGAAATATATCTTCTTTACGAAAAATATCAAGGGGAGTGTGGTTAAATTACGCTTCATTGACTCGTTTAGATTCATGGCAGCATCTCTAGAAAAATTAGCGTCATATCTTGACGAATATAAAATTGTTGAATCCGTATTTGCCAGTACGGTAACAGATCGCGAAAAAATTAAATTATTAACGAGAAAAGGTGTCTTCCCTTACGAGTATTTAGACACGCGAAGTAAGTTGGATGACACCGAATTACCAGCCAAAGAGAGATTCTATAGTACTCTCTATGATGCTGGTATATCCGATAGTGAATAGGAGCATGCGCAAAAAGTCTGGTCTGAATTTAATTGTCAAACCTTTAACGATTACGTTCACCTTTATATGAAAACAGACGTGTTATTACTTGCCGATGTCTTTGAGAACTTTCGCGAACAATGTTTAAACGCGTACAGGTTAGATCCAGCACACTATTATACTACCCCCGGTTTAACTTGGGATGCTATGCTCAAATATACGGGCATAACATTGCAACTTTTAACCGATATAGACATGATGATGTTTATTGAGTCGGGTATCAGAGGTGGTATTAGCCAGTGTTTTACCCGTACGCTAAAGCGAATAATCCCTATATGGATCAGTTCGATTTAACGCAAGACACCTAATATATTATGTATTTTGACGCGAATAATTTATATGGTTGGGCAATGGCACAAGCGCTACCAATTGGTGGTTTCGAGTGGATTGCCAACCCAGACGAGACCTTTGACTTCAACGTACCCGACGACTCTTCAGTTGGGTACATGTTGGAAGTAGATCTCAAATATCCTGAGAGCCTTCACGATTCTCATAAAGACATGCCGTTTTGCGCAGTTAATGCCAAACCTCTCATGTCTAAGCAGGACAAATTACTCACAACTCTCCTGCCTAAAGAGAAGTACGTGATGCATTATCGTGCATTGAAACAGGCTCTCGTGAACGGTCTCAAACTAGTCAAAATACATCGGGTGCTCCAATTCAACCAATCACAATGGTTGAAACCCTATATAGACTATAATACTGCCATGCGAACAACTGCGAAAAATGAATTTGAAAAGAATTTATTCAAATTAATGAATAACGCAGTGTATGGTAAGACCGTGGAAAATGTTCGCAAGCATGTAGACATTAAATTGGTTACACACTGGTTCGGCACATCTGGTGCCGAAGCCCTCATCTCTCGGCCTAATTTCCACAGTCGTGCAATATTCGATGAAGACCTTGTGGCCATCGAAATACGAAAGACTGAGGTCCTAATCAATAAACCGATTTATGTGGGTTTAAGTGTGTTGGATGTCTCGAAAACGCTTGTCTATGACTTTCACTACAGTTACATGCTTCCGAAATATGGTGAAGCATGTAAACTGTTGTACACAGACACTGACAGTCTAGTGTACGTAGTGAAATGTCAAGACATATATAAAGATATGTAAGAAGACATCCACAAGTTCGACACATCTGACTATCCGGTAAACAACGCATATGGCATTCCGCAAGTCAACAAAAAAGTACTCGGCCTAATGAAGGGCGAGTGCAACGGTAAAATTATTACAGAGTTTGTTGGCTTGCGAAGTAAAATGTATAGCATACGCGTTGAAGGTAAAGATTTCGTTAAGAAAGCTAAAGGTATTAAAGCGGGGGTCGTCAAAAAGTCTATTCATTTTGACGATTACGTTGAATGCTTGCGCGATTTTAAGATTCAGACTAGAACTAAATACAACATTAGGTCACGGTTACATTATTTAGAAACAATTAAACAAGTTAAAGTAGCATTAAGTCCGTATGATGATAAAAGTTACTTGCTTACCGAGAGTACCGATACTCTACCCTGGGGTAACTACAGGATCCCAGAAATCGAAGAATTGTAAATATTTTTGTAAAATAAAATGTAAGGATTTTCATGTTAAATAAATGTAAAAAAATATTATAAATTTTATGTATTTTTTTATTTATAAAAACCTTGTATATACATAACTCATAATTGACAATTAATGCAACATTGACAATGCCAAATTTAAATATTAATCTCAAAATTATAACAAGTAGAAATAAATTTGAAACAATTATCACAAAGTGAATTTAATACTCTCTATAATGTAACTGTTTAATAAAATATAATTTAAACATTATTGTAGAACTCTAGTCCTCGAATAAGATCTTCGACAAAGTGCAACATACTTTCATGATATGCACGTAGTAATTTTACATAATTTAAGGATAAATCATTATTGATTCATTATTGATTCATTATTGATTCATTATTGATTCATTATTGATTCATTATTGATTCATTATTGATTCATTATTGATTCATTATTGATTCATTATTGATTCATTATTGATTCATTATTGACTCATTATTGATTCATTATTGATTCATTATTGATTCATTATTGATTCATTATTGATTCATTATTGATTCATTATTGATTCATTATTGATTCATTGTTGATTTAACATCAAATAACGTACAATTACAACGTGCATATCATGAAAGTATGTTGCTGTGGAAGATCTTATTTCAGGACTAGAGTTCTACAATAAAGTTTAAATTATATTTTATTAAACAGTTACATTATAGAGAGTATTAAATTCACTTTGTGATAATTGTTTCAAATTGATTTCTGATTCTTTCAATTTTGAGATTAATATTTGAATTTGGTATTGTCAATGTTTATTATTAGAATAAATTTTGATTTAAGTTATAAATTTGCTTTCTCTTCCCAAGTATTGTGAGAGTTATCAAAGGCAAGCCATTTGACGAGAACTCTATTTCCACGTGTCTTGAGAATTTTTTCAACCAGATAAATATCTGGATATTTTACTTTAAGAAGTTCCTCTGCATAGAATCCTCCACTAATGGGTTGATCTTGATAGTCTTTGAGTTTATAAGTTATAGGTTTAGTTGACAAGACTTGATCTATTGTGAATATTTCTGTTGTCCAATTGGGAGTGTAATCTTTCTCAAACACGCTTTTATACTTGCTGACTCGAACTTTGTCACCAATTTTAAACTTTGCTTTCTTTAAAGGTATTTTTCTTAGCTTCAAAAATCGTTCTTTCAAAATTTCAACATCTTCTGCAGTAACATCTTTCGGCTTCATTCCAATAGTCCGATGTTTAGTGTTAATATAATTGGAAATAAGATTAGGTAATATATCATACCATTTATAATTTACACGTAGACTGAATTGCATCCACATTTTTCATTTTAGAGTTCTTTTAAATCGTTCAACAATAGATGCTTTCAAATTACTGAACGTTGAGTAGAAATTAATTTTATACTTTTTCATTAGAGCTTTAAACTGAGAATTATAGAATTCTTTACCTTTATCAGAATGTAGATTTCTTGGAATACGTCCTTCTATGAATATGGATTTCATAGCGTTAGTGACATTTTTTCCATTTTTACAGGAACAGCCCAAGCGTATTTGAAAAAAACATATCTATAACTGTTAGTAAATACTTAAAACCTTTATTTACTTTAGAATAAGGTAACATTTCTACTAAATCTGCTTGCCAAGTCTCATCAATATCACGCATGTCGACTTGGCGGCGATGATAATTCCTCCTTGCCTGACTATGAAGTTCATTCACTACTGTTTTCTTTTTGTCGTTCATTTTCTAGAGTACTCAAACGAGCATCCAATTGACTGATAATTTCAGCGTTTCGATATGATAAATCAGCATTTACTTTCCTTTCTAAGACTTTTAATTTTTCGTTTATAGAGTCTTCGAGAATTTTTAATAATATATAGTTATTGTCAATTTCTTTTCGCAGTGAAGACGTTATTTGATATATTAGTCTTAACTCGTTTTCGACTAAACGTTGTGCAAGTTGTAAATTAACTACGTTAGTTTTTTCTTTTGCATCAGCAACATTGGAAATTTTTCTACCCTGTAAGTCGAAGTGACCTTCTGATTTAATTTTAAAACTAATTTCAGGTGGATCTGGAGGTTCTCTTGCGACCCTTACAATTCCTCTTTCATTAAGAGGATGTCCGAACACATCAATGCCCATCTTAAGACTGAGAGAAAGTTGATGGAACACCTCCTTATATACTTTTCTTGAGCCTGACTAAATGAAACAATAATTTTCAATATATAATTTGCGCTTCACGTAATTCTTCTATGATTGACATAATTTCATTATTGTGACTGGGATTCCCAGCTGCTTGAGATGCCATAAGCAATCGAAGACGGTCAACCAATTCGTTAGGATCATCCCAATAGATATAGTCTGCTTGAAAACTTTTTTTTGCAATCAAAAAATGTGGTAGTGAAGTGCCAGTTTTCGATCGTCTTTTTGGTGTTTCATTACGAGGAAAAAGTTTTAAAATAATATTGACATATTTAAAAGTTTTACTTGTACGTATAGGTTCAGAAGAACTATAATTTTTTCTGTGAGCATTGAAGATGATGAAAATTTGTTTATAATTATTCATATCATCATCGCCAATGTATAACATTTCAGGTTTATTTTTTAATAACAGTTCCAATAAACCGGAAGTAATATTAAAACGTTTATCACCAACATTTATTAAGTGATCTTTAAAACTTATTGGTGCATCACCAATCTTGAGAGAACCATTTTTAACCTTATATACTCCGTACAACATATCTAAACATTGCTTTCTATTATGATCTAGCAAGTATATATATTTATTAACTACTTTATCATATTCAAAGCCTGGAATTACTGATGTTTCATCTTCATCAGCACTCAAAAAATTCATACTATCATCTAATTCATCATTACTTTTAATTACCTCCTCCTTCTTTTCT